TTTTCTCGAGAACAATAACCGACCGGAATAATCTACCCAATGATAATCATATGATTATCATACATTGGTCACCAGTAGACTCTTTCAAATCTTCATTCTCTAAACATCAAAGTTAAACTCAACTTTTCAAATTATGCCGGCCGAACTATCTATATTTGGAAAACCATAAAATTACTTTAAACACAAGAGCTTCATGACCCGAAATAACTCCTGTGAAACATTCTGGCTACTTTAATATTGGTCCGAGCAGAGTTTAGATCAAAATGACAATTACTTCATGAGAGATTGCAATGAGGGGCTAGGTGATCTGACTGATAGAAATATAATTATGTAGTTGGTTATGTCATTTGAGGAATCGTAAAAATGGTAGCGACGACTGAATACTTTACTAAGATCTTATCTTAATAAATTTTAATGATTTCGTAAGAATAATCAATCTGATTATTATTTGTCTCTTTAGCACGTGGTTAGGGCTCAACCTGAAAATAGTTAAGAGAAAGCCCTGCAGACAGGGTCTGCATGACTTTGTATAATGTAAGAAAGGAATTAAAATGATTATTCTTTTGGCTTTGGTGGTATAGACTGAGTGGCAATGTTTACTTTAAGTTAAGAGTCCCTCAAATCTTCAAATGTTTAATAAATGTCGTACTATTTTACTTTGAAGTTTCTTTGTATTACATACAATGTATTTAGCATGTTTAATATGTGATATCCACACATGCACTCACAACGAAATTTGTTTGCGATTTACATAAACTTTTTCAATTTCCAGCTGGTTTGTAACTTTGTACTTTTTGTGGTTTTGGCTTATCTTTAACACTGCAGGAAGTGTTCTAAAATCATTTGTTATAACACTTTTGTTTTAGTTCTTTGGTGAAGGGAATAGAATTATAGAATTGTCCCATGGAAATGCTCTTTGGCATAAATCAGGCTCTAGGCTCCATCTTATTTTATCGTCCAGCTCAAGGCTAAATATTATGGACTCGGGCCTCCTTTGAGCAACGTTTGTTAGATTAGGACACCGAGCTCCAGAGGCAACCGAATCTGGGCTCCAAAGGAACTAGTAGGGCCAATATTATTACCACAAATTATCTATACAATAGTTATTAAAAAACTGGTCATCATCGTGGTATATGGACTGCCCACAGGACAGTTGTATTGACTAAGACAGCGATAATGACTGAGCCGAAGGCGAGGTCATTATCGCTGTCGCAGTCAATACCACTTTCCTACGGGCAGTCCATGTATCACGATAATGACCAGTTCTTCAATAACTATTATGTTTATTTCATTGAGGAACCATGTTCTTAAAAAATCTCATAAATTCAAATTGTTCAAAGCAAACTCGATTTATTGTACGATTTCTATAGGAAAGAGTGAAGACCAGTCATAGTGATAACTACAAGTCACTGCCATTCATTTAAGTGCAATTTTTAGTATATGAAAACAAAATAAAGTTTTCTATAATTTTATAATTAACGAAACATATGGTAAACAATCCAACAAATCCAATATAAAATTGACATCACTCTAAACAGAGAAACCACGCCCAATCGGTCATTAACATGTAAAAGTTCGCTTACGACCGGTTTTCTGGTCCGTTTATTTCTGTTAAAGACCGATGGATTTTTTTACTAAAGAATAAAGAATGTCATGTGACCACTCGTTATCCAATAAGGGAAGCTAATTCTTAACCGATATGAAATAATTACATAATAGTTATTGAAAAACTGGTCATTATGTGATATATGGACTACCCAAAGGACAGTGGTATTGACTAAGCCAGCGATACGGCTCAGTCATTATCGCTATCGCAGTCAATACCATTGTCCTACGGGCAGTCTATGTATCACGATAATGACCAGTTCTTCGATAACTATTATGTTTATTTCATTGAGGAACCATGTTTTTAAAAATTCTCATAAATTCAAATTGTTCAAAACAAACTCGGAGTTATTGAACGATTTCTATAGGAAAGAGTGAAGACCAGTCATAGTGATAATTATCAGTCACTGCCATTCATTTAAGTGCAATTTTTCAGTATATGAAAACAAAATAAAGTTTTCTATAATTTTATAATTAACGAAAAATATGGTAAACAATTCAACAACTTCAATATAAAATTGAAATCAGGAAAATGTTTTATTAAAGGGACATCTCTCTAAACAGAGAAACCACGCTCCACCGGTCATTAACAAGTAAAAGTCTGTTAACGACCGGTTTTCTGGTCCGTTTTTTCTGTTAAAGACTGATAGAAATTATTACTGAAGAATAAAGAATGGCATGTGGCCCCTTGTTATCCAATAAGAGAAGCTAATTCTTAACCGATATGAAATAAATCATTTTAAATAGCAACAGACAACTTGAAATATATCAGTTTCACCAAAATTACTACACATTTTTTCCCTGAGTTTCTGTGGCGAAAAAGGGTGTGCTGATTACCAGTACACAATTGTGAATAAGAATTGCAACACTTATTTATGGTAATACTGATTCAGTGTAAATGCATCATATTACAATTAAAATGATATTGATGACACGAACGTGGACTTCCTCAAGAATTGACCAAGCTACTACAGTCTGATACAATAAATAAATACTGGAGATTTCAATGATTTGATTATGAATGATGAATGAAATCGGATTTACGATTCCATGTTTCTTTTGATTATTTAGGTAAAATGTTTTGACGTAGCTGGTAATTGTTTTACTGGTGATATTTGGTTTGAAATTAATTCGTGACTTGTGATAGCGGATGATAATCTTGTACTTGTTTTAAAAGAAGAGACACTTTCAGGCATGTATATAAGAGAGGGACGAAAGATACCAGAGGGACAGTCAAGCTCATAGATCGAAAACAAACTGACAACGCTATGGCCAAAAATAAAAAGACAGACAGACAAATAATAGTACAGATGACACAACATAGAAAACTAAAGACTAAGCAACACGAACCCCACCAAAAACTGGGGGTGATCTCAGGTACTCCGGAAGGGTAAGCAGATCCTGCTCCACATGTGGCACCCGTCGTGTTGCTTATGTTATTACAAATCCGGTAAATAGTCTAATTCGGTAAGTCATATTCGTGAAAAGGGAGGGTATTGTAGTTACGACATAAGGAACATGTCCGATATCATCTGTGAAACGGTTATTCCATAACGGTCAACCAACTCGTGATGGCGTCCGTAAAATTTACGAAGGGATGATTTCAACTACCCCATTTGGAACTTTTGGTTTAATAGCTTCCTTATGAGCAGCAATCCTCTATTAAGGAAATCATGATAGGAAACACAAGCCCGGGAATATCGTATCAATTGGGAGATATATACTCCGTATGCAGGCGCTGCTGGAATGTTGCTACATAGAAATGGAAAGTTCACAATTGGGAAGCTGAAATCATCTCTTTTGTCGTAAAGTTTTGTTTTCAACCGACCCTCATTGTCAATTTCTAGATGTAAGTCAAGATAAGAGGCAGACTTAACTGTAGTATCCTTTATCTCTAGTTCGATCTCCGGGGATAAATTCGTTCAACATAGTCACCAAATTTTGTATTATTTAGTGATATTTCTTAGTGTACGGCAAATGCTTTTTACAGCGCTATCGCGCTTTGATTTTATCATTATCAAAGATGAAAATTTATTTGTCCCTTAAAAAACAATTTCAATAAAAGAACAGAGTTCCAATGTCCCCCGCGTTGCACATATTTTATCTTTCCAAGGTACAAGGGCAATTACTAAAAAAGCACTTTTTGTTTGTTCTTTAAACTTTTTGTTTAATATCTTAGAGAAATGAAGGCTTTAAAGCAAATGCAATGTGATTTCAATTATAATTAATATTTCCAAGGGGCATAACTCTTTAAAACTATTTGATCAGAACTTATATATTTGAAAGTTTAAAGACATTGCTGATATAAACCTATGATATAAGTTTCATAACCGTTGGCATTCTGACAAGAACTGAACACCATGAGAGCGCTAACAATGCAATTTTCCAGATAATCAATATTTCCAAGGCGCATAACTCTTTTATAAATAATTGATCAGCACTGATTTTTGAACTTTTGAAACATTGATGATATAAACCTATAATATAAATTTCCTAACAATCTGGCAAAATTTGTAAACCCTAGAGCGCTCATAAGGCAATTTACCATATAATTGATATTTCCAAGGGGCATAACTCTTTTAAAAAATTATTGATCGGCACTGATTTTAGAACTTGTCAAAGTTTTATAAAAATCTGACAAGAATTGTACCCGTGGGAGCGCTAACGAGGCCATTTTCCATAAATTTAATATTTCCAAGTGGCATAACTCTTTTTAAAAAAGTCGATCGTCCACCATTATAGAACTTGTCCGAGATATTGCTGATATTAACCTGAAGTATAAGTTTTAATTGTACCCGTGAGAGCCCTAACGTGGCCATTTTCTATAATTCTAATATTTCCAAGGGGCATAACTCTTTAAAAAAAAGTCGATCGTCCACCATTATAGAACTTGTCCGAGATATTGCTGATATCAACCTGAAGTATAAGTTTTATAAAAATCTGGCAAGAATTGTACCCGTGAGAGCGCTAACGAGGCCATTTTCCATAAATTTAATATTTCCAAGGGGCACTATAACTCTTTTAAAAAAAGTCGATCGTCCACCATTATAGAACGTGTCCGAGATATTGCTGATAATAACCTTTAGTAAAAGTTTTATAAAAAATCTGGCAAGAATTGTACCTATGAGAGCGCTAACAAGACCGGATGGACGGACAGACACACGGACGCACGGACGGACGCCCGGTATTTCTATGTTCCCCGCAAAAGTTTGCGCGGGGGACAATAAGATGTATATTCTATATGTGATGTCTTCAGGCAAGGTCTCTTTTTTTTGTGACATCACAATATAGCAATGTCAGTGAAAAGAAAGAAAATTTGACGTCATCGTTGAATTTCCTCTCGATGAGAAACTAAGATCAAGCAAACCCACACTCTCAATTTTAAAAATATTCGATTCGTTCAATTCAAAGTTTTATTTAAAGTTGATATTTAGTAAACAAACCGTACAAAAACATAAGCTCTAATGAGCTTTTCAAATCAACAACATGCATAACAATATATTATACCTACATTATGACACATACAAAAGGCATGCAAACAACACATTTTAAAACATAATGCATGTTAAGGTCATATGAAACAAGTTTCTGGTGATTATAATGCCGTTCAGGAATTTACTGAACTAATGCATGCATGTATACGAAACGAAGTCCTCTGTGTAAGTTTTGATATCTTTTACGAATCTGTATTTTATAATCGACAAAAAATATTTCATTCATAGATTGTTGATCGGAAACGTTTTTTTTTTTATTGTCCATGTGTTCCAATAAGTTAATTCAACTTTGTCATAACAGTTGTTAACTGATTTGGTTTATTAATATATTTCTGTCATAATCGATTGATAATATTTTCTATCCACGTTTGTTCACCTTATTAACGTTTATAACATTTCCTTCCTTCACAATTGCGTTTTGTGGTTGCCGAATTCTAAATAGCGATGTCATGGTATGGAAAAGCTGTCGATGAATTAGAGAATGGGAAGAAAATAATTCAATAGCAGTACATTTTAGAAGAATTTGATAAAACAAAGGATTTCTTTGAAAGGGGCATTAGCTGTCAAATTCATGTTCACCGATTTGACTTAAATTCTCACATTTGATTAATAACATACTAAAACGTATATCCAAATTACAAAAAGTTTAAAATAACAATTAACAGTGCATGAACTCGATAATGTTTCGTGTGTACTTTTCAGTGTCTAGACGTCATCTAATTAACCATCGAGATGACCTCCGAAGACTGCCGACGGTCATTTAACCCGATATAAACATAAATATAAATAGATAATGACCACGTGCAATTGGATTTTTTTTTAGGTCTGTTTGATTTCATATTGTGGGTTAAAGGTATGTTTATCGTCGTTTTTACCTGTATAAGAATGATTTTATTGTGGATCGAATCAGTCAACCAAATGCTTCATCCTTGACATTCTTTTCCTTTTAATAGCTTATTACACACGTAACCCATCTCCACCGAAGGGGTTAAATAGAAGGTCACATGGATATGGATTCAATGAGTTGCAAGTGAATAATTCATCAGCAATGTTTCTAAGTTATTTTGACAAAAATGAACCAAATTGGCTGCTAGAAGCAATTGTTATTTCATTATTTCACATTCATTGATGATAACACAAAAAAAAATCATATTTTATTTTTCATTATATCTCGTAGCTAATGCCCCTTTAATTGAAAGTCTATCTACACATGTTTAATAGTAAAACTTAGCCAGGAAAGTATATATAACATATCAAACTTTTTTGTTTAAATTGAGGTATTACTAGTATATGATTTTAAGAGAATAGAGTGAATGAGGGTTTCAATTGGGGTCCTTCGTTTCTGTATTCTTTTATTTTTCATGTCATTTTTTCTTTTATTCTTTATATTTTTTGCCCATTATTCTCTATTCTTTATATTATCATGAGCACCCCATTATTCTTTCTTTGTTTTCCCTTTTTTTCTATTTTTTGTTGTTCATTTTTCTGCAGATTTGGCCCATTGTTCTCTATATTGTAAACCCGCAGGCCATCCAGACCATCATGAATGTCACCTAAAAGTTAAAACAAAGCATAGTTTAAAGTCGGGTTTTAGAAAAAATGCACACAAAATATTGTATAATATAAAACATAGGTTTTAAGTTAAACAATTAAAAACAGCAAATAATAGCAACTAAAAATAAAACTAAGCATAACAGAATGAGATAGTAGCAACACAGGCACATGTTACTGAAAAAAAATACCAATATACTTTTAGTGTTATATTAAAGTTTATAGGTAAAAAAAATTCAGAGACAAGTGCCTGTGAATAGCTGCTAAAAATGCAATACAAACCAGTCAATTTAAGGTAGATAGGGTGTCTTCCTCCATCTTGGATTTTGAAATACCAGAAAACAATCGGTCTAGATCTTTAAGAAAATGTGCAAATTTTGAGAGTAGTAGGTAATTCATGTGTAAGAATTTTTATTTCAATATAGAAAATGACATGTTTTATCATTTTTATGGTTGTCTTTTACAAAAAACAGAATACTTTTGTTTGATTCAATTTTTTCAAACTTTGCCACATAAGGGGAGGCAACTCAAATGTAAGGGCAGATAATTCAGGTAAAGTTACTTTTTCAATAGAATGTGTTAGGAATTTACCTATTTTATTATGTAGCAAGAAAAAGGGTCCCGTGACCCCATTTTTTTCCTTTTCTTATCTGAAAGCATAATATTAGAGCTATCTTCTCATATTTTATCTCAAAATTCTATGGTGTAGTTTTTGTTTTATGGCAGAAAATTGGGTTTTACTTGCATAATATCATGATACAAAATCTGTCAATTTTGCACAACCTGTAGCGTGAAAATAAGCCCCGTGACCCATTCTTTTTATTATTATTTTTTAAAAAGCATGATATAAACTAAATTTTGGCAAATTATTAAAAAATTCTATGGATTATAATTTAGACACCCCATCTACCTTAACAACTAAAAAGAACGAACTGGCTAAAAATTAGAGAAAAACAGTTACTACATCAAATCTAATGAATTCATTAAGAGAATGGAAACATAGAAACAAACCAAATGAACTTCATATTGCACCATACTCTCATCAGTGTTCGTTCAAATTGTTGTCATTGTGAACATAAAGATTCACACTGCATCCCAGAAATGTTTTTACCGACAACGTTCCTGATATTATTATTTGAGGCCAAGAAAACAGAAGTAGACACTGATAATATCAGCGATAAGATCCAGTCTTTGTTAGAAAGACAAGTAAGCACTTCCAACGTATAATTTTAATTTTACTGTTTAACTTGATTACGTGATTTTTTTTCGTAAATTTCTCTTTTCTTTGTCAGGTACTGAGTCTGAGGTAGTAAACAAACTCACCAGACCGATGCAAACACCCACTCGTCTGCCAGTTTCTAAATATTTACATCTTGAATTGTACGATCACAAAAGTGAAAAATTAAAACTAAGATGTGGTATGATTGCCAATAGACCTTCTGATATAGACGAATTTCGAATTTGGGAACTTTCCCGTAAATTTGTAAATTTCGTATGTCACAATGCTTATGAGTTATGTTGTTAAGTCACAGTAAGAACCGATTGTTCCATGATGTCCTTTACTCTGAATGTAAAAAAAAAAACTACTGTAACTCATTCATAGAAAATAACTCAAGATTGTTGTATTTGGGAATCTGTGACACTTGGAACTATTGACATCATACAAAAATCACTTTTCATTTGTGTCGTCAGATGCTTTCTATTGTGACAATAAAATTTTAAGGGAGCCTTTGTGATATTCAGTCATGGGCGACAAAGAGCGATTAGGTGTATGACACAACCATAATCCACCAGATTCCTGGCAGAGAGGCAGAGACCAAATGATATAGATTCAAACAATACTTTAGTTCTGAGAACGTCTGTTTTACCGTGTCCGATTTTATTTTACACAGAAACGTCAGAAATCTATGCAGCATTGGGATCAGTACAACATCCTCTGCATGAATACATCAACATTTGGACAATGTCACCTTATCGTAGGTTTTCATCAGGGCGAGTCAAACTAGAACTGAGTGGAATTTGCTTAATTGGCCTATGTAAATATCAAGGCATGTGCATAGAAAAATGTAACGCGATACATTGTACAACTTTTTTATTATTTTTTCATTAAAGTTGATTTCTAACAAAAAATTTAGCATTGTTGAAATTTACATTTTTTTGTTGTGTTTGTTTTGTTATAGAATACATTTAAGAATGTCTTGATTTAAACATAATTATTTTCCATTTTTTATTTGTCAAACACACAAAAAAAACAAATTTTAATCGGAACAATGTTGAAAATTTAAGAAAATCAACTTTAATATTTGAATCAGTGTTTGTATTGAACAGTTTGAAAATATGTTATTGGTTTTGTGAGCTGAAACATGTATTTTCATCTACTTAGAAGATAATTTTTTCTTCAGATAAATTAATCAATGAGCGATGGATTTCTCTTAGAAGAAATTTAGAGGTCCCTGTGAATAAACTACACAGAAAACAATAGCTATTATATTTATTCAATGGGACATGTGAACTGACAAAAGTTTAAATCGACAGGTAATTGCAAATGATTCTGTCGAAAAATGTTTCGTTTCTTTTGCAATAAAGCAGGGATACCATTAGTGAGCAGTAGCTCAAAGTTCAACTTAATGTTCCTGTCAATCAACCAAAATAGCCACCATGGCTTAAAATAGAATAAAAGGGTAAAATACATTTATTGTCTAATATCTTGAAAATTATAATAGATGAAGAAAATCTGACTGAGACAATGTCAAGATCTACCATAAATTAATTTCCTATAAAAATTATCAAATCACTCTTTAATTACAGGAGTTAATGTTTCTCCTGTCAACTGATATTAAGGATGAGATGTTGGAAAAACTAATAAAATCTTGACATACATACCTATCTTTTTACCTGTTGCCATTCTAGGAATACAGGTAGATAATGTGCAATGACATATAATACCCTGTGGAATGAAAATACCAATACTACCTGCTCATCTAATAAATGATAAATTCTGAGAAAACCGGAAAGGAGGTTCGACTAACAAATTGCACTTTGAAAAATTTCTGAAAAGGTCCATACATATGTGTACAATATAAATATGGAAATTAGGCTTGATTGCAAATGAGACAATTATCCACAGAGACCAAAGAACAAGGATGTAAACAACTATAGGGCACTGTACAGCCTTCAACAATGAGCAAATATATTTGGGATTATACATTACTTTGATAAAAAGTTATTATTTCACAACATTGCATTTGAAGATGAACATATTTTTTTTTCTCTTTTTTGACCTCACTACCTCCAAATGTCAGTCTGAGGAGAAATCAATTATAAGGAATAGTGTGGGCCTCAAGAACTGCAGTGGCGGTAATTAGGATGTACAAAACTCATATGATTATAAAATATTCATAAACCAAGTTTGTCCAGCTTTTGTGAAAGATCTTTTATTATAAGAATCCTCATTATTTTCAACCATTTCTTTCAAATTAATGTCTTTATTGAAAAGTAGATATAGTGTGAAGAAATATAAAATGTAATCATTGAATATAAAAAAACTAAAATTTACATACTACAGGTATCTGAAGTTACAGTAGCAGTGAATGAAATATTTAAAAATGTCTGAGCTACTTCAGAAGTTTATTGCTCATAAATGGTGACATATACTAAGAAGTTACTGGCAAAGGAAAGTAAAAATTGAAGTTTTCCAGTTGTAACTTCATATTTGGAGGATAATTGCTTTACAACATTGTGAAATGTTGGAGAAAGTCTCTTGGCTAAATACACAAACATTACAAATTTAGAGATTTCAGGCAGAATAAAAATGTTCCTTTTAGTTTCTGTGTGCTAATTGATGTGTCCTCCACATCTTCATTTATTCATATTATTTCTTTATTTGAAAACTTCAAAACATTTCATTTGTAAAAACTTATTCCATGGGTTATTTTGTTTAAAAATTTTGTATAAATTAAAAATAATCAAAATTCTTTAACTAGTTTCTGTCACTATTAGATATGCAGCCATGTCTTGTTGGAATAAGAATGTCAAATCTGATGACTCCTGTATGAAGTGTGACTTTCTCTGTATGCTATATAACACTTGCAACAAAACTTAATGGTGGCCTGATGCAAGGAAAAATATTTGCCTATATTCATAAGGCTATTGACAGATGCAGATCCATGACTTTGAGAAAGGGGGTGGGGTGGGGGTGGGGGCAAACTAGGCAACGTTTAAATGTGGACAGGTCTATGCATTACCCATATATGTATCTCCATAAGGGGAAGCCTGGGCCCCCTGTCCCCCTAAATTTGCCTCTGATGGAGTATATCCTCTTTTTTTCCAGTGGCATTTTAAATTCACCACCCTTCATCCCTGTAGACCCACTCTGCAAATTCAATCTATCAGTATTGGATTTTAGGCTAATTTGTTTTGTCCAGAAGAGTTACAGCCATTCATGACATTGTAAATATAATACAGTTGTTCTATAACTTATATTTACTATGTCAGATATTCCTATTACAATATGTATCAAATATATTTTTTGGTTTGTGATAAGATAAGTGTTTAAAAGTTGATGCCCAAAGTATTATTTACATATTTTAAAATTTAGAAACAAATTTATGAAAATCTTAAAATCAGTTTTTATTGAAAGGTTAATAGTTCAAATTAGTCAATGCATTTTATTAACTATTTATAAATTTCATTTTACCAATTGTATTCTTCTTTCACAAAAGGTGTATAAGAAGCTATAACAATGAATTGAATTTTACTATTATAAATTATATTCATAAATAAAGGGGTAAATTCAGTAAAAATATCCCATTGACTTCAATGCAAACCTATTTTTGGAATTAAATTTATACCTGGTTTACCTTTAGAAATCAGAAGCTTTCATATATATCATTCATCAAAATATGTAGCCCCATCTTTTGCAACAATAAAAACATTAGGTTAAGCAGCATTTTTGGGCCATTCACATGGCCTTGTTTACAAACACTGTAGATTCTTACGAAATTCCTACACTGATCCCATTACTTTTCAACGCTGTAGTAAAAAAAATAAGTGCATTAAAGTTTAAACATTCATTTTAAAAAAATTTGAACCCTTGTTTGGATCCATCTATCAAAAAATAATTTATTACTAATATTAACAACCAATCAGTGGAGCCCAGGACTTCAGTGTTATACAAAAAGCTCTCCCCAAATGGGTGGTCCTTAAAGACATATATATTTATTTATTGAATTTTCCCCTAAAAGAAGTCTGAATTTACAGAAAAGAAACATCTTCGACACTAGACAAGTGTTTTACAATACATAGTTACAAAACTATTGTGATAAATGTTACTTTTATAAGCTTGATAATGTTACATTAATCTAATTATTAAGATTATTCTCAAGTAGAAAATAGTTTTGATCAAAAAATATTCCATACTGTTAAAGATAGTTTTATTGAAAAAATGCTAGGCTTGCAGAAAAATTTTAAATATCAACTATTTTATATAGAGTATAAAGAGCCTGACATTTTTCATTTGTTAGCTACCATTAAAATTATGATACACATTCTTGGTGCAAAATAAAAATGTGCTTAAGAAGTTTCATTCTTTTTCTCCTACACTAAACCACTATGAGGCATTAGGAGTGTTAAGTTATGTTTATATTTACCTGTGTGAATCACTGTAGTTCATGGTTCAGAGGTCACAGTTCATCTCTGCCTGTTTTGGATGTGTAACCTAATACCCTCTTTCAACATGGAGTATTGATGCAGCTACAGTTTTTCAAAAGAAAACAACTATTTTTGAGGATAATATATAAATTCTGTGATTTAATTAGGATTTCCTGTAAGTATAAACACTATGTTTATAATTGTAAGAACAGTTTGAGTTTAAAAGTTTATTATAGAAAACTTGTTTGTCATAAAGATCAACCACTTGACAGGTAGTTTCTGAGGCAAAATTCTTTCACCCTATTTATATATCTATTAATTGGACAAGTATTTTGCCCTTACCATATAAAGATACTTTGAAGGTTTTACATGGCCTTTTTTAAAATCTTTTTAACTTAATGCAGACTAAACAAATTTGTTGACATGACTGATCATCTGTTATTAATCTTATTGTATGTGTATCAATCTCTTGTTTCTTCATATTTATCATCCCATGTTTATTTAATATTGTCCCCAGTGGGTTAATATTTGTATTCAATAGACACTAGAATAAGATTTCAAACCCATTTCAGTTATCTTGATGAAAATATGTATATTCATCATCTATGTATAAAGAGTTTATTGATAACCTAAAATATTTCATGCATGTAATAAAGATCATATCATCTTTGATTTAATGGTAGGAATCATGCTGTCAAAATTATATTGCAAAAACATAAATTTAATGTACAAAATGTAAGATACAGAGAAATAATTGTTCTTTGTTTAAAAATCTTTACATTTCCATGATAAAGTCATTTATGACCAGGAGCTGTTATATAACACACAACACATTTAAAAGGGTGTACAAAGATTAGAGGATATTTGATAGCTGAACTTTTTAACTTTTTTGTTCCCCTTCACGTGAATATATAATTAGGATATATATTTAATTTGGGGTTTAATGGCTGTCTGAGGGTTATATTTATTGTATACAATTTAAAATTTCCCCATGAATATATTTCCCATAAATGAGTGAATTGTCAGAAACCTGAATGAATAAATGATATTATACATGTACATTGTAGGACTCAGTTTGTTTTCCCTTTTCAGAAACACATATTCTTTGAAATAGTGATAGTTAGGACAATTTGTTCAAATCTATGACCAGAAACCATCTTCCCATTTAACAAGTTTAGATTCAAGATTTAAAATTTTATGAAGAAAACTATTATGATTATCATGATTATATATTTTATGAAGAAAACTATTATGATTATCATGATTATATATTTTTGTCAAAAGTTTGATATGTATACACAGGTGTAGTATAGCATTATGGCAACTAAGCAAAAAATTCCACTCAATCTAGTGCTTGTAGAAACTTTAAACTTGCACTGAGTGAGGTGTGAGCTTTTATTCCATGATAAATGGCTCTTTCTAACTATATGATGAAGAATAGCAATTACACTGCTGCCTTTTCCCTTTGGGTTTTGCTTCAATAGAGTCAAGGATTCTATTTGATTAATTAATTCACAATAAGAAGAATTTTTATTAATCTAATCAAGAACCCATAAAGGGCATCATTTACAACAATATTAAGCACAATATGATTGGAAAAAAGAAAAACTATATCCTAATATAATACTATCATATATTGGACAGGATCAGAGCCTAACACATCATGTGTCTTACATAACATTAACAATAATTGCATAATAATTTTATATATTTTGTATCCACCTGGATCTTATTTCTAAACACTTAATTATATAATTGCCTAGGCACATAAGAGTTGGTAAATGCTCATTTGTGAACAGCCAGAAATATTTTTTATCCTTGGGTAATTCTTTAAAATTATTACAAAAACTGTTTACTTTATCCCATAATAATTTTCTCTGTTCGTTATATAAAGGACAACTTACTGTGAAATGGGTCTCATCTTCAATAGAATTTGATCCATGTGATAGGCAGTGATGACATAGACGCTGACTTCTCTCTATGTATTTTTTACTATACCTATCTTTCTCAATTTTAAGATCATGTGCACTTATTCTCAATTTACATATAGCTCTTCTTATATTAAAATCTTTAATTGTTAAATAAGCCTCCTTTACGAAGTCAGTCTTGAGGTTGAAATAATTTTCTAATTTACTATTACCTTGTGATAAGGTATCAGATCTTTTGACCCCCCAAAATGTTTTAAAACTGTTACAGAGTTTACATTTTACAAATTTAATTAATCTATTGAGCTTTGTATTCAAATTTTGTATATCAAGTGATTGAAGGACATATCTCATAGATGAATACCAACAATTAATGTTTCCTGCATCTAAAATTTTATTACAAACATAAGCATCATAAAGTCTTCATCTTCATATCTTCATTTCCATCCAAATTTTGTATGAATATGCTAATACATATATAGAGATTCAGACAATGAATAAATACATCTGGACTATGGAAAGTACTTGTTTCCGTGGTTATAGTAACTACTCAGGTCTACTGTCTGTTTTATGCATATTGCATTTAAATAACATTCAGATTGAATGTAAGATAATCAGATAACAGAATTAACAGGTGATTCTTGTGTGTCTCATTAGTAATGAACATGAAACAGACTTTTTGGTATATGGCTGGGAATTTATCAAATGGAAAGATGAAAAACTTTCCTCTTGCCAACCCAAAATCTATAATATAGACCTTTATATTGATAAACACTGCCTTTAGATAGAGATAAAAAAAAAGAGCAATTATAGTTTGGAAAATTGTCATTGAGTTCTCTTGGTCTTTTTAGACTCTTTTTTAATTTAGTATTTAACAGTTGTTTTTTTTTATGGAAATGTATTTCATATTATTGTTTTAAGCATTCTCTTAATTTGGTTAAAAAAAACATATAGTAATGAGCAGGACAAGCAATGACAAATCTATTGCAAACAAATGGATACTCCTGTGTGATATCTAAATGAAAACAAATATTTTAAAGTGTCAATTTACATGGAGGCATCTTTTTTTTTAATTTTATGTTGATTCTAATATCATCTTAGAGAAGACACTTACAATGATGGCAGTATGGAATTTATTTTAAAAATATTCTGTCTTCTGTTCAATGACATGTAAAGTTGGATGCAGTGTTGCCATTTAAAACTAGGCTTATAATTAGTTCATATTGTTAAGGAGATTCTGTATCAATATGTTTAAGTTACTAGTATACAGATATTTTAACAAATCAAAGGTTGTTATGTCAGGCGGTAATGGTGACATAAAGGTTTTTAATGGTAGATTAAGTTTAGGATGTAGTTTTCAACATTTGTTAAATTCTTGGTTTAGTTCTATAATACAAGTGTCTAAAAATTTATAGTAAGACAATCAAAGTCATTGCAATAAATCAGTATTAACAGTTTTTTGTGGGTTTGCTTTAAGTTTACGATTTTTTCCCAATACATGTATATAAAATTAGATAATTTGTTGTCCAGTCAAGGACCCAAAGGGTGAATACAACATAGCTGACCATCATAATAAGTAATGCAAACACAAATATTGTAAAGAATGATATGATTGATAGCAAGAGTATTATATTTTATAAGAAGTTTTACTGGTCTCCATAAGACCTGTTAATTGCAAAATAAGTAATTAGTTTAATTAATAAGTACCGGTATTGGACTGTATACTGGGTTATTATAGGGTTTCCCTGATTAGGATAATCTAATCTCATGGTTTGACCCCAGAAACTGTAGTACACAAAGGTTATCCTGAAGAATAGTCACCTGCATTTTGTGGGTATAAACTTTATGCTCTAATGTTGTTTTGCTTCTTATAATATACAAATATTTACCAGGATATTGATCATGTTTTCTGAATTTACTTCCAAATATGAATGGACATTGGTCATTTAAACATTAAATATTTAACAAACTTTCTTCAGTATTTCTTGCTGTTAGTTGGTACATGTATAAGAAATGAGGTAGATTTTAGAAAGAAACATGAATTTGCCAAAGAAATATTTATTTATGATTTATTGTTACACAGCCAGTTTTTAAAATTTCATTTAATTTTACAGTCAAGACTCAAGAATTGACTGCTTTCACTGAAATAACGGTATGATGTACAACTAGACCTGATAAAGGATTTCTATTATGGTAGGGGTAGGGTATAATGCAAGGTCTCTGCTTGAATGTTGTTTTGTAAAAAGTACCTTAAAAGTTTAATCAAAACTTACATTTTTTTTAATGGAAATGTGTTTTATGTCATTTTTATACAAAAATTTCGTCGTCGTCTGCGTCGTCGTCCTATACACATTGGTTTCTGGACAATAACTTTAGTTTAAGTGAATGGATCTCTATGAAATTATTTAAGAAGGTTCAATACCACAAAAGGAAGGTTGGGATTGATTTTGGGGATGATGGTCCCAACCGTTTAGGAATAAGGGGCCCAAAAGGGGCCCAAAACAAGCATTTTTCTAGTTTCAGGATAATAACTTGTGTATAAGTATTTCGATTGCTCTGAAATTGTACTACAATGTTAAATACCACAAGTAGAAGGTTTAGAGGTTATGGGGCCAACTGTTTAGGAATAAAGGGCCCAAAAGGGGTCAAAAACAAGCATTTTTCTAGTTTCCAGACAATAACTTGTGTTTAAGTGTATGGATCTCTCTGACATTGTACCACAAGGTTCCATATAACAAAGGGAAGGCTGGGATTGAGTTTGGGGTTAATTGCCCCAAACATGTAGGAATTAGGGGCCAAAAAGTAGCATTTTTCTAGTTTGCAGACAATAACTTGTGTTTAAGTGTATGGATCTCTCTGAAATTGTACTACAAGGTTCCATACTACAAAGGGAAGGCTGGGATTGAGTTTTGGGGTTATTGCTCCAATAAGTTGAAAAAGGGGGGGATTTTTTGTTTACAATTTTTTAAAGGGATTCATATTTTTTTTTCAAAATTTTTCAAATTTCGAATTTTTGAAAAGTTTCAAGAAGAAATCTTTAATTGCACAGTAATGTGCAATAGATTTGTAAGATCTTTGACCACATTTATTTTGTGTCAGAAACCTATATTATGTCAAAAATTTTATCACAATCCAAATTCAGACAGTATCAAGCTTGAATATTGTGTCCAAATTTGC